CCCCCCGCATCTTTGCTCCACCACATGTTCGGTCCAACAAACCTTTCGGTTGGTACACACCTTTCGGTCCTGCCCCATATTGAGGTTGTAGAATGATCCACGATGCCGCCATCGACCTTACATGGGTGAGAATCTGGACTACCCCAACTACTTGCTCAAGCAAGAAGCTATATGGAACGCCAGTTTGGGCCCCCGCCTTATGCAGGGCGAGGAGGAGGAGGAGCAAGCCGTGCCCGTTGTGGGGGAGCCGCTAGTGTCGTTTAGAGCACCCCCCGACGAAGGATGGTTGTACAACTCCGAGGCGCCTCCGAACTTCCAACACGGCGACTTCCTCGGATCTGGGTACGTACACTCCAGCCGGTCACTCCTCCACCATCCCCCACTGTGTTCCCCCCCTTCCACCCACTGTGGTCCCCCCCTTCCCCCCACTGTGGTCCCCCCCTTCCCCCCACTGTGGTCCCCCCCCTTCTATTCCCTTCCTACCGCTCCCCTTCTATGTTTCCCCACCTTCTGGGGCGTTCTTTACCTAGCATGCTCCTTTCTGTTCTTACGAGTCGGAATCATCGGTCTCGAAATCCTACCCGGTCCTGTTCCCTGGTCGAGGCAATTTGATGTTTCGTTTTGGTAGATGGCGAGAAGAGTTGAGGAAGAGATGGACGTGAGTTTTTTTTGGCTTCAGAGTTCGTTGCCTCGTGGTCCCAAAGGCTCTGGACAGAGACGAGACTATGGTCTTAGAGTCCCGGAGGTCGCGGCGCCAGGAGATCGCGGCGCCTGAGACTGCCGAGGTTGCTGTGGGCCGTCGGAGTTGGCCCCACGTGCTGGTGGCCCCACGTGCTGGTGGCCAGTTTAGAGCTCGTTGTCCGGTGCGAGTTGGACGGAGCTGTGTTGATGGAGGAATGTGTGGAGGCCTTCAACGACGTGTGTTCTTTCACGGAGTTCGACGAAGGAGTCGTGGACGCGGTCGAACCAGAGTGTGGTGGGGACTCTGGTGATTCGGAAGGCGGGGTCTGCAACGTCGTTGGCGGTGACATCTAGTTTGTAGAAGCCGATTTGTCGCTTGGTACGCTGGACGATGGCCTTGACGGCGGGCTCATATTGCGCGAGGAAACGACGACAATGCCCGCACCAGGGCGCATGGAAGGTGACAAACCACTCCTTTTCCTTAAGACTCTGCCGCGCCGTCCGATTCGCCAAATAGCGGTCAAAAAACACGCCGTTAATGTCCATTGGCGCCAACTCCACATCGCTGCCGCCTTCCACCGGCATCGACTCGAGCAACTCATTCTTCTGGTACGGCTTCAACCGGCCGCCCTTCAGTGCCTGCAGCCAACTGACGGCACCAAGACCCTCATCATTGCGCTTATCGACCTGGCTCGGAGGGTGGCCGTTGGCCTCCCCCTCGGGGTCGTTCTTCTTCTCGGAGTGGTTCTTCCCGTCGGGTCCAGTAGGTTTGGGTGCGTCCCAAAGATATTTGAGTCCGGTGAATCCGTCGATGACCACGATGCTCGGCCAGTGTTGGTCTTTGAAGTCTGATCCGAGGAGAAAGTCGAGGACGCCGAGTGTGTCGGGTGACTGTACCCAGATGCGCATGAGATCCATGCCGATATCTAGGGGGTTTTGCGGGTCCTGTTGTCTTCGAATCGTTTCTTCAGCCGTGACGCCCATTTGTTCTTGTACCTTTGCTGCCAAAGAGGGTGGTTTTCCAATGGGCATAAGACGGGAGGGCTCGTCTTCTGAGAAGAAGATAGCGGCGTATCTGCACAGAGGGTGTATCCAAAATCGGGAGTTTGCTTTCCATTCAGTGACGGGAAGTTGTTGGCATTTGTTCAATCTTCTGAGTCTATTTTTCTGACGTGCTTTGAAGGCTGCAGCTTTCTGTAAGGAGGACTGCGGTAAGACGTCGTAGTGGCGGGGACGTGTGTAGAGGGACAATGCGTAGTATGCGGAAGTTAGCAGCGAAATTCCTGAAAGCGCAATGAGGAAGATATACCTCTTGTGCATCAATTTTATTCATCGCAAAAATGGGATGCGGACACTCCGTATGTACTAGAGGAACCCCAAGCTCTTTCGAGGGAGGTGGACAAGCGGTTCGGGACGTATTCAAAGTAGGAAAGCTATTAGGCTCCGGAGCCTTTGGACAAGTCCGTGAATGTGTCAGTATTAAGACTAACGAGGCATACGCCATGAAGATAATGCTAAAATCATCACAGGAGCGAGGTCACTGGTCTAATGAAAATATGTTCCGAAGGGAGATAGACGTACTGGCCTCGCTAGACCATCCATATATAGTGAAATATCACTCTTTCTATGAAGACAAAAACTATCTTTATGCTGTACTCGAAAAATGCGAGGGGGGTGAACTGTTCGATCAGATACTCCAACAAGGCTGTATCGCGGAAGCTAGATCTACTACTCTGGCTTTCCAAATGTTAACTGCGATTAATTATGTACACTCTCAGGGCGTTGTACATCGCGACGTTAAAGCTGAAAATTTCTTGTTTTCTGTAAGACACACGTATCCGAGTGTGGCACATATCCAAGTGTGGCACACATATCCAAGTGTGGCGCACATACAAAAGTACGCATCTGATGGATTGTAGACGGATAGTAATGACTCTGATATAAAACTGATCGACTTTGGTATGTCTGAACGGCTAAGTGCCGGTCAAGTTCTAACGGACGTGTGCGGTAGCCCGCACTATCTCGCTCCTGAGCTGATACGGCGAAAGTATGGTTTCAAAGCGGATGTGTGGGCGCTGGGAGTCTTGGTGTATTTGATGCTATACGGTAAGTATCCCTTCGACGGTAATGGAACCAGTGCCATTGTGAAGGAGATACTGACCAAGAAAATAGATTGGACTACGAGTCAGGATAAACCGCAAGTGTCTGACCTTGCCCAATCGTTCCTGAGGTTTGTATTACATAGGAACCCCGATAAGCGTCCAACACCCAGCGAAGCAATCAAACATCCCTGGCTTGCAGTCGCTCGAAATCGCCTGCTTTCTGCAAGATCAGACTCGCCCCGTATGCCCAGCCCAGCCACTTGTACCCCCCCCC